CCTAATACTCCATCATAGATACTGGAGCTAAACCCAAATTATTAATGTGTTGTTGTTTTTTTCGTTTAACGTTTTAACTGTGAAGTTACTCTTCTAGTAAAGACGTGTGAACACACGTCCCGACGCATTTTAAGCCTGACATGAAACTTATCACTATGGTAACGGGAGCGTGTGGTCACGCAAACTCACAGAGAGCCGACATCAGGCGGAGGGTAGACCGTCTCATTTCACAGCAGTTTTGAGCAGCCTACCTGGCCCAAGGAGGATGTGTCCCACCTAGGCCATGAATTGAGACACAGCTTTGGTCTCCTCAGCACCGGACCACCACAGGGCTGCTGCCTCAGCCCTGTATACCCACAACTATGTCTCCAACACTGATGAGGCAGTAATAAAAACTATGCAGATGAGACCACCATCCTGAGCCTCATCAAGGGAGGAGATGAGTCATCAGACAAGGAGGTGGTCAACTGCACACTGGACTATGAAGAGAACCACCTCATCTTCAGTGTAGGAAAGACAAGGGAACTCGTCATTGAGTTTCCCCCCTCTCCATCAAGGGGACAGTAGTGGAGACAGTAGTATTCACATCACATCAAATGTGACCTGGTTGGTGGAGACCACAGGAACGATGACTGGACTGAAGAAGGCTGGACTGGGCCGCCCACCCCTCACGCTAGCCTGCAGTGGGCTGCTGGTGGAGAGCATCCTCACATCTAGCATCTCAGTGTAGTATGACAACGGCACACAAGCAGACAGGAACACTCTCCAGTGAGTTATCAAAAATAGCTGAAAATATCAGGATTGACCTTCCACAAACAACACTGTAAACAGCATGACTAAGGACACACTCCACCCTGCCTACCTTCTCTTTAAACACAAAATACAATTATAGGAAAAGCAGAGCAGACAGCATCCTCACACACAAGAGCAGCTTCCCTACCACAGTCAAGACTGATGGCCAACCTGAACTCTGTGTAATGTAAATAACAAACACTCATGGACAATATTATTACTTTCAAGGCATGTTTAGTTTCAAATGAAGTATTTTTTATTCTCAAGAGGAATATGCTTTCCTTTCAAGTGCAATGTTCATTTGCTGAAATGCTTTCTAAGTGCTGCCAACTTGTATCTATTTTTTCTTGCTCTGAATATAATGTAGTGTGAAGTCTTTTTTTATAGCTTAGTGTAGATTTAGGGTGCACCGACTGCAGTTTTCTGGCCGATCACCGATCATTAAAGTCTGACCTCCCGATTCTGATTTTGGCTGATACAGACTTATTTTTAAATACCTGAAGTAGCGTTGTAGTCAAGACCACCTAACCAGAGACCAAGTCAAGACCAGTGTCTCGAGACCGAGACAAGACCAAGACTTTAAGGGCCTGGACCAAGTCAAGACCAAGACCAGAAAAAAAAAGGTTTTGTCCTAAAAGATAAGAGTATTCTGTACA